GAAAATCACATGCAAGAAAAAATAGCCGACTAAACACCATGGCTGATGTGTTTTATAGAGCAATGGATTCATCAGATCCGCAAAATAAAAAGAATATGTCTGAATAAAAGACAAAATCGAATTAAAAAGAAAAATCTTCCACAAGATGTCATATATCTTCTAAAGGCAGTATCTCCGCCGACCCAGAAAACTATTAATTCCGATCCGGAAAATTCAGATTCGGATTCTAATTTAGATCACGAATCTGACTGACTGACAACGAGGAAGAATAAAAAAATGTATTAAAAAAAAATTTTTTTAATAAAATTTTTTAAGGTACTAGGGCAGGTGGGTGAAGACATGGGCCAATTAAAAAAAAAAAATCCGAAATTCTATAAAAATTTAGCAAAAATATGTACCAAATTTCAAGGCTCTAACATTAAAATTGGACTTTATGCCAAAAAATCCGACTTTCTGACCATAGTGCAATGTGTAGAAGAGTTTGACCTCTTGCGATATTTCAGACATTTACCATCGCGTGACGAGACTACATAAGAATAGTCGCCTAACGCATTTATAATTTGTATACCTTTGACACAGTAATGAGCTCAAATACATATGTTGTGGCTGCTTATATTGTTGTTTAATGTTTGCAAAGATGCAAGCAATTCAGACAAGCTGAAAACAGAGCTCTTCAGTCTGGAATTCCTGCTTGTTACAATCAAATTGTATTCAAAAATTTAAGGCATCTCGCCTCAGCTGGACTGACTTTTCTAACAAACTCTGGCAACGCAACAACAAACTTAGTCACAGTAAGTAAAGCATTTGAAAGTTTCTTCCTTCAGTGCTTCTATGGAAACAACATAAACAAACGTGTTATCCATCTTCCTCCCGTGCTTACTGTTATGACACTTTTCAGAGAGATAACTTTCGTATTCATTGTATTGCGATTTGTTATGCCAATGCAGCTTGACTCCTAGCCAAAGTCGCATTTGACTGTAGCACGTCTTGAGGCATCAGGAGAATGCTTATATTCTGCGGCTCGCAGCAATGTGATGCAGGACAATAAGAAGAAATGGATGTAAGAAATAAAATAAATATTCGATTTACTTGGCTGCGTGACAAACTGCAAGCAGCTGGCTTTCAGGATATATTGTAACTCTCGGCATCTGCATTTTGTCGTCAGTCAATTTTCGTGTTCACTTTTTAAACAAGGAGCCTCAGTTGACAGACCGCAGCTGAGAGCTGGCAGCAGCTGCAGCACTGCCATAGCTGACAGCTTGGTGGCCACGTATGCTCGAGGGACAGATATTTCAGGGTATCAAACTGCGAACGGGACCCGTTCGTAAATCTTGCCGCCAGCCAGGGCCAAAGCCACTGAATGTGTATTAAGTTTTGGTCAGTGGTCAGCTTGCCAATAAATTCAATGCCCGTGGGTGGCAGTTGCGTGTCTCGGCATGCTGCTGCTGTACTGTGTAATTGCGTGAAATAACAGTTTCTATTGCAGGACTCTTTGCCCCGTGGTCCGTCTGCTAAATCAAGTGGAAAAACTCTGAATAATTCAATTTAAGTTTTCTAGAGGCACTGAAGTTTCAGTTTCAACCAGCCACACTTGGGAAACTTCTAACTGTTTGCCAATCAAAATTAAAACTTTAATTAAATTAGTTACCAGCATTTGACAATGACTCGGCAACTGAGTATATAAATAAATGAATCTATAAATGCGATGCACAACTCGCACGTCATTCGGCTGATTGTCATTCAGCTTTTTATAGCGCGCAGATGCTCGAAAAGCCTCAAAAAATACAAGAAGCAAAACAAAACTGAAAAGAAAACAATAAAAGCAGAGCTGACAAACCATAAAAAGGGATACAGTAGTAGCAGCCCGACAGGCGGCCAACCAGGCGCCAATCGACCCGCCCCGGCACTCAAGATACGACAGCGAGTGTAATAAAATTATATTTGAAGAAAAAAGAATGTAGTTTTTTTTTTTTTTTTTTTTTTTTTTTTTGTCTGACATTTGTACATGATGGCAGAGAAATGTATAATTCCTGCACTAATAGGCGATGCGATGGAAAGATAACTGCAAAACAGTTTCTAACTGAAAATTCTGAAAGTTTCAATGAAAAAAGAGTTTCTATGAATCATAGTTTGTATAACGTGAATCAATGCGAATATTTCAATTTAATTAAACATTGTAATAATCAAATCTTATAGTAGACGCTAAATAAATAATAAATAATTTCTTTCGTTTCATTCAGAATAAAGAATCATGAATTATGACTTTTTTCTATAGTAAAACTACTCATGTTTGATTATTTGAAATGTCACTTATGAAATAAGAAGTAATTAGTTAAATGTATGTCAATGGTAAATGAAAAATTACAAAGAGGACGATGTTTATTTTTATTTCTAATCTAATTTCTAAATTTTAAGTTTTAAGCTTTAATTTATATATTTTATATATCAAAATCCATGTACAATAAAAGCCTGCAGCACCCATAGTGTGTTTAGCAGGGCCGGATCAAAAACATTATTGTCATGGGTCCAGGTGTGTTGGGCGCTCATAAAATAGTGTTCAATATCCCAGTGATAAAATTTAAACATTGTAAGAGTTATGATTTAATTAGAATATATAGCGTATGTTAATTACAGAACATGAACTTGCACGGGTTGCATTTGCTTTCTCACGAGAGGTTTGGTCCTTAATGAAAATCCAGCCCTGGTATCTAGAAATTTCTTAAGAACTGTTTGCACCTATGTTTACGCAGGATAGTTACTATAACGTTTATTCAGTCTTCCTGCTTCTTTATTTGTCAAAGTCTTAAAAAAAATAAAAATAAAAAATAAATAAAAAAACAAAAGCAAAATCCAAGCTAAGCCACTGTCCATTGAAGTAAGACTCCAAATTTAATAATAAAATGCGACAATAGAATGCAAGCATGTGTTGAGCTTAGTTTTGCTTAGACAAGCAAATTTATGATTTTCGCAGACTTCCAGCAGCTGTAAGAATCCATAAAAGGTAGCAAAGACTGGGACTGCACTTTGGTTAAAATGGATTGAAAGTAAATCAAAGAGTGAGTTAGAAAGTTAAGAGTGGGGTGTAAATGCATGAACAGTCTGTAAGGAAACCCGTTGCTCTGCAGTTAATTATCATATTATATTAGGTTGAAGGCAATATTGAAATTTGTCAAATTTTCTGAAGTCTAAGAAGCTTAAAACTTTTGCAGATAATTTGTTAAGTGCTTCATCAATATGTCAATAAGTACCTCCTACTTGTAAGAGAATGGTGAAGCTCAAAAGTTTCGGTTGGCATGCTCTTAAGAACTTCAAGATTAAAAGAAAACAATAAACAAGAAATACGCAAACGGCCCAGCAAGCAGCCGAATTTGCAATCGATTTTGCCAGCTTGGCACGTTTTCAGTGGGCGTGGCGAGTGCCTTATGACTTAATGTAGAAATGAAGGCTTTATGGACTCATGGTCAGCCAAGCTATAATTGAGTGAAAGCTTATCGTTTCTGCGCGTCATATTGCAGACTCTAAGTTAAGATTAGGTGAATTCGTAATGAAAGGGGTAGTATTGTATGCCAATTTTATTATTCAGTCAAATTTTAACATTCTTAATATTCAGCGATACACTTCATAACTCTGCTTTAAATATTTAGATTTCTAATATCAAATCTCTAGGTTCTTCATAATCGGGTGTAATAGTCACAAATTTAACTTTCAATGAGTGAACCTAACAACGAGCAACTATGCAATAAACATTAAATTAATTTCCTCGTTTAGAGGAAACACCGTAAAGTCAATTTCACTTTAACGGACGTTGTTGTTGCTGTTCTCGTGAATGAATAGTTGTGCATTGCCGGCAACGAAACCAAGGGAGAGCGTTTACTTTGGGGGTTGCGGAAGACCCAATGCCCAAGCAAACATTTGACATAGAATCGCAGACTGGAGCCATGACGTAACTGTTCTTAGATATATATTCGTTAGAAGAAAATCAAGTATTTTTATAATGCTGTCAAGCTCGGTGCATTTGTTGATTATTACCATTGACTGTAATAATGTTGTTTAGCTGTCTCAATAAGTTTTCGTTTTTATCATCAGCAGACAATGATTCGATTTATAGGCCATTAAAAATAGATTACGTGGACTTTACTCTAATAACTCATCACTCAATTTAGGACTTAAAATCATAAAATAGAAAATAATAATCGAAGACTGTAATTGCAATTTCACGGCTGCTTCATTTGGAGAACAGCTGTTTCTTACCTATTCAGACACTCCAATCAACCGAATTATCCGACGGTTCATTATTTTACCATTTGCCAGGAATGATGACATCATGAAAGAAATAAAACTGAACTAGGTCAGCTAAGCACTCATCTCATCGAAATCTACTTGCACAATCAGTTCTTTTGAGCATTCGTCATCCTTCCCCAACACCTGGTAAAAAACATTCTTGTCTTTTCATTTTCTTGCTCACATTGTTAAGTAGTTTTATTGATATGGTATATGAAATAAATTAGTAAAAATCTTAAAAAAAAAAAAGAGATAGAGATATTTTTAAAATCCTAGACTAAACATTTACAGCGAGTTTTCGAAATCAATTATCCCTAAATTGCAGATGAGACTTAGCTCGATTTCTTCATCTGACGCAGCTGCAGACGACTACTCGGCGTCTAGCTCTGCTCAAATAGTTTAAAAATAAATGTTTAATGACAGCGCCCATTCACTGTGTGTACAAAGTAGACTGCACATGGCAATTGCTTATAAATAGTCGCAGTCGTAGTCATGCAGGCCCCAGTGGCCTTTTACTTTTACTGCGCAACAATGTTGCATCAACATTCAGACGCACAGAACGCGTACTATAGAAATACGCAAATGGTTTTTATGAATGAAACACAGACGACTGGCTGAGCAGTGACCGAGCCTGGCAACATGGCGCATGCGTAATGGCACTTTCAATGTGACTTTGGCGGCAGTCGGAAAAACTAGAGGAACTCGGCTGGCGGCGCAGTTGGCTGTCAGCGTTCAACGTGGTCGTGCCCAACGTGGACCTGCCTCAGGGGTGCCACTCGAGTGAATTCATATTCTTGGTACATCGCCCGGTGACGATGGGTGTTTAAAAATATCACTTGCATTCTGCTGAGCAAGATGACAACATACAGCCAGTGAAAGTGAGAAAGAGAGAGGCGAAGAGAGATAGAGAGAGAGAGCGACAGTGCGAAAGAGAGATAGAGTGCTGATATTCTTGTTTATATTGAAGAGAAATACAAATTAATTAAGAAAAAAAATATACTCAATATTTCAAATCGTTTACAGATGCAACCAAACAAGTCTTTAAAGTGTGCAGCCGTTAAATTCAAAGTGTGAAAAGTGCATCAAGTACTGGCAAATATATTCATGTTGTGATGTCCACAAATTAACAGCTGCCAGCGAAAATATATATGAAATCAAGTAAATCAAATACTTATAAAAAACAAAAAGTGGAAAAGAAAATGTCTGCGAGCATCACATAAATTTATAAATAAATAAAATTAATATATATATTATCAGAGAGTGTGTGTGAGAGAGAAAGAGTGCGAGAGCGAGCTGCAAATAATCATAAAAACCACACGAAATATTCAAAACGTGAAAACATATCAAGAAATTAGCCATCTCAAGCAAACGTAACCAGATTATGAGCACAAGAAACCGAAATCTGAATGTCGTTGGTAACATGCCCTCATGTATGTATGGTCGGTGTAGGTAATTACCTATAAGAGATGCCAGCACTGACGCCCTGGCATTGATGGCTGTCATTTTTTATATAAAATATGCAAATGAGGCAACGCACCGTCGCCTGGGAATTCGAATCGCATCGCTTCAGTTGGCAAACAAAAAAATGCTGGAGCACACGGACCCGGAATACAGACAACTGATTCATACAAGCGGAGGCACAGTTTTCTGCATTGTAAATTAAATTCCCCAAGGTAACTTCATTAATCTTTAAAAACGAGCCAGTCGGATGCACTCGACTGCTCAATACTTGTTTATAATTAAATAATAGCAAAAGGTTTCATAGTTAGTTAGCTTAAGTAAATTGTTTAGCTTACGTAAATTGCTTAATTTAAATTCTTAGGAATTCAGCTTCAAATCCGTAACTGAATTAAAGATATGAAACTTCCTCTCTTCTGCTCACCCTACCACACAACACTTGAATATTCCGGGTTTCTTTTCATTCACGTTTCACTAGAAAATAGATTTTCTATTGCAAAAGTTACCTGTTCAAATTTACCTTTCCTCTTAAAGCAGTGGTACTTAAGCTGAAACCAATTCCATGTAAACCTTGAATATCAACAAAAGACATCAATCAATATATTCTCATGTTTAGTTGTGTGAAGAAAGTTTTTGTAGCTAAAACTGAACCCATGATACGATTTGCATTACTAATATTTTTTTACTACTAGCACCTTCAGATTCTTTTTATCTATAAGACCTCAGCCTTTAGTTTATTCCATAAAGCTTACAAATTCAAAGATAATCCAATTATACGTTCGCTTAAACTATTGATTTTAATTTCTCAAATTGACTTTTATTATATTATTATGAACTAATATTTTTCTTTAAAGCTTATTCGCTTTCAGTATAAACTGACTGCTGAAAGAATATCAAATTCTTTCTATAAGCAAATGTTCAAACACTTCCACTTCACTTTTTTCAATCCATGTAACTATTATTTGCTCCTTTAGTTTGTGTTTATTCGGAAACTTCATTCATTTAATCAATTCCTTTTTGCTCTTTTATAATTTAACGCTTCATTAGGTGCCGCAACTTTCACATTGACTTTCCCATCAGAATAAAATGAGAAAATACTCATAATGTATTTACAGCTTGTTTGTCATCTGAAACCCTTTTTTCCATCACGTCAACAATATTAATAATAATATTTTGTTCACATTTACACAGATTTCAGAAGCTGTCGAGTGCTGTGAGAAAAACGTAATTTATATTGCTTGATCCCCATGACAGTGACATATACGAAGGTTCAAGCTTTGATTTAAGATGAATTAAAATTCTTTGACACATTGCATTTAATCCTAAAAGCTTCAAAAGTGACAAAAAAACTAATTTTTTTAAAATACGAAATGTGGAGAGAATATTTTATGAATTTATCTCATTGCATTACAAGAAGAATTAAGAATATAGCTATGCTAACCTCACAGCACAATGAAGTGATAAATATAAACAAATAAATTGCTAGGATTCAATACTCATAAATCTTTTCACAATATAGTTTACGTATCGACTTAACCTGTTTTATTTTATTATAAATTGTAATCTTGGCTATTTGATTTTGTAGCAATTTGCAAATTTTATTTACCGACCGGCCTAAATATCTTTCCCCATCAATTCTGAATAAATAAACTAGAAGCAGTCGCATTAATTGCGTTAGCCCAAATACTATTTCCATATGCAAAGCACTTAATATTATTCAATCGAGAAAAGTGAAATGTAATCAAATACGAATAAATGTCTTAGGCCGGCGAAATTTTCGCAAATTGAAAATTAAGTAAACATAAACATATGCACACGCACGTACACGTACTACCGCCAGTCATTCGCACCCACTTGCAGGTGAAGAAACAAATATCTCTTTTGGAAATGTCTGAGGTGAGGGCAAGGCTCAGCAGCCAAGGAGGGCTGTGGGGGTCGCTGAGCCACAACCTTGATGCTGAGTGAGCGTGAGTGAGTGAGCTGCATTGCGATTTGTACGGGTGGGCACTTAATGTCGAGATGATTAAGTATACGCCGCATATCACGATGCAGCAGTCATTTACATAAAAGCCGGCAACATCATTTCAAAAATAACTGCGTCGCTATAATGGCTCTCGCAAAGCACATTCGCTGGGCTTCAGCCGACATGCACGGACTTGTACTTGTAGGCGGGCAGACAGAGCGCATAAAAGGATAATAGACGCACCCAGGCATAAATCAGCCGCTTTATGTGCCCTACCACGGCTGTTGTTGTTTTGTACTGTTATTCTGTCTGTCGTGCGTCTGTCGAGCACCTGCTCATTGAGCAATCAAATAGCTGCGTGAATTCACACAATTATCCCCACGAATGTGCGCTCCGATCCCTGATCCTTTGCATTCCGCGCATTGCAATGGCCTCATTAAAAATGAAGCAACGAAAATATGTAAATTTAAGAATTACTTGAGCCAAACGCCACGCTCTTGCAAATTATAATAGCATTCGTTTTACAATTTGCTTCTATTTGCTTCGCCTTCGCTGAGCAAAAACCTTGAAACTGTCAACTAAAAATATATCACAAGAATTTCTCTCTCTCTCTCCCTCACTCTCGCGAGTGTTGTTCTTCTTCTTTTGGAAAGCGAGCGCCGAGAAATATTATAATAATTATAATATCTGCTGTTTTCGTTTTGCGGTTCAGCATGCGTATACTCGATGCTCAGACTCGTGTCAGAGCATATCTCTTCGTACATTTTGTATGCTCTGCCACACGCTCCCAACATACTATAAATTCTATACTTACCCATATACCATATATCCATACGCCCATATGCTATATACCCATACAGCACATGCATTCATAAATTTCTCAACTATATTAGATACTGCCTCGACTGGCTGCCAGTCGACAACAATGCCTCCAAAATCGCTGATAAGTAAATTCTACATGTGGCGCAGACACAATAGAATTAGCGGAGCCGATGTCCCCTAGCTAGTGGGGCTCGCATCATTTACAGCTGTCCAACGAGCCGTATAAATTAATATACTTAAGCAGTTAATTAAACGAATTTAAGAAAAATGACCAAGAAAAAGATAACGGCATAAAAATACGCGACCCTCACATTGGGGAGCTTGAAAGAAAAATTTTGTTTGAGTTTTGGCTCACTTCTAATGAGATCTCAGTTCTGTTTGTTTATTATTAACATTTAATAGTCAACAAAGTGTTTATTAAAATATTTCTAAATAATAATCCCTAATAGTCAAAAGGAAAAAGCAAATAATTATTGCTAATTAATTGATAATAAATATCAAACAATATTATATATACTATTACAATTTGAATTTATAACAACTCATGCTGCTCTAATCCGGACCGGCCTTCGCCACGAGGAGATTTTCCAAATATTCCAGTTTCCCTTCTGCTTAAATCCAAAAATAAACGAAAACGCCCACGCAAATAAATATTGCGCTTTTTATTCCCGGACTAAATAGATTTTCTTGAAATTGTATGTATATATGAAGGTATATAAACCAAATAAAAAACTTGCTGGAAAAAAAAATAACTTAAAGTATTTAGCTAAAACTCGTCTGGCTATAAATCTAAAAAATAGACTAAAAGATAGTGAATCTACATATAGATAGATGATATCAAGTTTTTATTTCTATCAAAGATATTGCTTATTATAATATATATACTAGGGTTTATTCCTTTTGTTTATTCTAAATATATCAATAAAATCACATTTATATCAAATCGGAAAATATTGAACTAGGCAGCTCAGAAAATAAATAAATACAGCAAATTACTAAATATTCCGTTAAGTCATCAAAAATAAATTTAAAATGAGTCAGGCTTCATCTTTAGCATTTCTTTTTGCTTAAAACTGAACTTTTGCATTTATGCATTAGGCAAGTTTTTGCCTTTGATTCATTAAAATAAGTGCATGAAAACAGTTGCATTTCTATAATTACAAATATAAAGCAAACGCCCGATGGAACCAAATAACCGCGATGTTGTTTACCAGTTGACACAGAGAACAAAAAGTGGCCGAAACATACATATATTAGAGCAAATGCCAAAAGTTGCTCGCCCACACAAACAGAGAAGCACAAACAGACAAAAGAGTGCAAGAGAGAGAGAGAGAGAGAGTGAGATAGACAGATAGTGTAAAAGAGTGAGAATAGACATAGGGCAAGAGCAGGTTGGGGCATTGGCACAGAAACGAAATGAAATGCAGACTGGCTGTCGCCTCGTTAGCCAGCCAGAACTATGCAATATGCACATAGTTTTTGGTCTCCGCTCTGCGAAACAGTAATGAAAATCCTTGCAGGACACGTTGCCAGTTGGAATGCCACATGCAAATATCTTGCTGAACAATTAAGCTCAGTGTCATTTTCGAAAAAAAGAACATTAATTGGAACTGTTGTCGCTGGGGCTGCAAAAAGTCCCCCTACCCCTCTTCCTGGTTAACTAAGTCCATTCATGTGTGTGTCATGGGGCGAGTGTGAATCGCAAATGTCTGATACCCGAATACATTGTAATGCGAACGAGGTCATTTATAAGCTTCTTCGCTTATTTACACAGAATTCCAGGGAAAATCGGGTTTAATTGCTTTGACATTAGCAAGTAATTAGAAGTTGTAGATGGGTGGGTGAACCCAATTAATTTATGAAATCTCGAAATATCTCCTAATGTAGTTTAAAGTTGTGGTGAAATTAATATTAAACGAAATCGTTTAAAGTTTCTTCGAAATGAAATTTCCTTCCTTGTTTGAGTGCAGCATTCTGAGAACTTAATATAAATTTATTTTTGGGAATTCTCTGTATGTACTAATTCATTATTAATGAGCTGCCCAACAAGGTAAAAGCAGTTATGTGTCCCAGTGCATGTCTATTCGCAATCAAAGTCGGGCTAATAACGGCATGACTGCTTTGGCAAATTGGGAATTCTCAAAATTGCAAAGTTAATAACTTTTAAGTGCTTCTGAGAGAAATGTGCAAGTGTTGTATAATTAAATCTATACGTCTCATCTTCCGTTTATTACGTACAGCAGACTCAAGTGTTTCGATTTAACAAAAAAGTAACAGACAGAAGAGAACTATCAAAATAATAATAAAAGTGAAGGGATCTCTGTCATGTCTCTCTACTGGACAGTAAAAAGTTGAGGCAATTGGCTAGTAAAGTGCCACATGGATTGTGGTCCGTTAACGATGGAAAAGAAAATATGGAATTGGTGTCACGTGCACGTGGTCCAGCAGCAGCAGTTTGTGAAAAGGGTTCCATTAAAACTAATTGGCATTCTAATAGCTGGACTCCAACTCCAGTGCGCGCCAGCCGTAGCTGTAGCCGTTGCAACTGCCCACGCAGCAATCCAATTTGAGAATCTAATTGTTACAATCGCCTTTTGTGGACAAAAATGGAACTCGGCCGGAATAAAGCAGCGCTGATGCCCGTCGGAAAATGGGATGCTCAATAGCACCTCCAAGAACCGAACTTCCCATATGCAATTGCCGCCTCCCACCTCCCACCAGCCACCTGTCACCTGGCAGTAGCCAGCAGCCACCTGCCATTTGCAACCTGCCAGCAGCAGATGCAAATCGTTGGGCATTTAACATGCCACGGGACAACAGTTCCAGTTACAGTTACAGTTGCAGTTACTGCAGAAGCTCGACCACAGACGATTTACTGCAACTGCTGAGAGATAACGAATGCCAAATGCAAAACACGCATACGTTATGTTCTACAAGCCCCCTCGTTAGCATTGTGGTTGCACTGCGCTCTCGCAGCCACAACCACAGCCACCACAACTACAAAAACAACATTTGCGTCAGTTGTTTTTCTTTTTTCTTTTTTTATGCCTATTTTGCCAGTAGCCACAAATCATGCCGCGGCATTAAGCTAAGAGCTGCCATGTGTTAAATTGATTTGATTATATGATAGGCGCGCGGACCGCCGAGAAGCCAATAAATAAACATAAATATAAATGTGTATACACCATCGATATCGACACAAATTTGTAGAGAGAATATCATCATGTTGTCTTATATGTAAGTCAAGCAAATAGGCCTGGGGAGTGGGCGAGAAAGATAGCCAAACATTCAATGTAAACAGATTTAGCATTATTAACCGAAGACAGCTTTAAAAAAAAATGGGAAAATATAGATTAATTTTGATTAATAATTGAATTAATTTTGACTTAGATTAAAGACTTTATTTTATTAAGTGCGAGCAGTTCATTCTCCCCCTAGAGACTTTAAGAGACAGCAATCCAAACATTTAATGTAAGCAGTTTTAGTATTGTTAACCGAAGACCATTTTTTGTTTTATTATTTTATTTATTTAAAAAAAAATATATATATTAAAATAACTAATTTGTATCAAGTGCAGCCCATCTGCGAGTCGTTCATTCTCCACAGTCGTAATTTTTATGTGTTTTATTATTATGTGCGCGTGCTTTGCTTGATTTGTTGGCCCAAATGCTGTGTTGACGGCTGGCTGACAGGGAGCAAGGGGTCCACTTACACAGGTGAGCGCGTGTGTCTGCTGGATACAATTCGGGCACTTTAATCTGATACATGTGTAAAAAGGTGGCGTAATAAAATTATATAGTTCATTGCTTATATTTCGCTGTTACATTTGTTGTCTCAAGGATGTCTGCAGCTACTACGAATTGATAAGAGAAGGTTAACAAATGCCATCTAATTTCATTTATTTTTCTCTATTAAAACTAATCTTAATTATCAATAATATTTTTGAAATACAATCGAAAACCTGGATATTGAAGTAACTGAAGATATGTAGATTTCAGCCGTTTTTAGTGATACTCAAACATTAAAGTGAACGTTGTTAAATTCTTAAGGAAGCTTAAAATGGAAGAATGAAAAATATTCTGTAAAAAGTGACTTGTCTAAAGAGTTGCTTAAATATAAGGAAGAAGGATTAGTAGTTCAACAAATAATCTTTCTTCCTCAGACTTAAGCAACAAATATCTGAAGAACAAAAAGCTTTTAAAAAAGTTTAAAGCAGTTTCCATGGCCAAGATTAGAACTTTGTGGTAGCTTGCTAAGCTAATTCAGGGCAGTTGGAGCATCTGGCATCATTCAGATATATTGTATTCACTCTTGGATTCTACGCATCTAAGTCTGTTGGAGTATTTTAGCTGCTAAGTCCTATTAAAATATGTAAATGTAAATAATTTAACAAAATATTTATTATAATTATTATTATCATTGTTTTTATTAATATTATTATAGTTATTTTGTGCTATTCTTATTTTGATATTTATTAAATATTCCTTCGTTTTCATTATAAGAAAATTAAGTATATTTTTCATTAAAACATCTTTCAATACTTTAAGTCCAATTTAATGTTGTTGTAAATATTGGATGCTTGAGGAAGCCCAATCAATATATTTATAAATGAACTACTGGAACAAAGTTTGCTATACTCTTAGTTGCTGCACCAATTGCTGGGCAAATAAGCAAAAGTCGAGCCAAAAAGTTTGTTCCTGAATTGAACGATACACAATCACCTGGTCAAACAAAAGCCTTGTACTAAAAGTCCTTCTATTTTTCATTTCCTCTCTTTCAGCTTAAAGTGTCAACGACAACAACAACTACAACAACGACAACAATAACAACAACAACGACAACTACTACTCCTGCTACTGCTACTGGGCTATTAAAAGCTCTGCGCTCTGTGTGAACCATAAACGGAAAGGCAAGCAAGGAGCTTTCTACGCAATCTCTCAGTCACCCTCACTCAATACCGCGTGTGTGTGTGTGTGAGTGTGTGCGAGTGTTCAAGTGAGTGTGCACAGGTGTGAGCCCACAACAATAATAAGCAGAACAAACTATTACAGCGGTCAACGAATTTATGTTGCGGCCAGAGTTGTTGCTGGATAAAAGTTTAAATGCCAGGAACAGTTGCCAGCTAGCCGCAAATAGATCCCAAATAGAAAACTTTCGATGAGCGGCGCAACGGAGCGGCTGCTGCTGAGCCTGCAGCAGCCAGGGTCAGGTGTAATGCCCCCATCGGCATCCGGCGACTACGACTGGGCGCCCATCAGCGACGATCAGTTCCTGGCCAGTGCGACGGGCCAGCGCATTGAGGAGACGGCGCGCTACGATCTAACCGACTCCGTGGACAGCACCTTGGCCCCGGTGCTGTTCAATGCGAGCCAGCGATTGCTGAATGCCAGCTATGAGGCGCAGAACGAGAGCGCGGATCTAGCGTGGCTGCGCGAATGTGAGCTGGTTTACAATCCGCAGCTGGAGAATAATTGCATCGAGTTCTGGGTGTGCGGCGTCATACTCAACATTGTTGGCGTCCTGGGCATACTGGGCAACGTGATATCAATGATAATTCTGTCCCGTCCGCAGATGCGCTCCAGCATTAACTATCTGTTGACTGGTCTGGCGCGCTGTGACACGGTGCTAATTATTAGCTCCATGCTGCTGTTTGGCATACCCTCCATTTACCCATACACGGGCCACTTCTTCGGCTACTACAACTTTGTGTACCCGTTCATATCGCCGGCGATGTTCCCCATCGGCATGATCGCCCAGACGGCTAGCATCTATATGACCTTCACCGTCACCCTGGAGCGCTATGTGGCCGTCTGCCATCCGCTGCGGGCGCGTGCCCTCTGCACCTATGGGCGTGCCAAGATCTACTTCATTGTGTGCGTCTGCTTTGCGCTCGCCTACAACATGCCTCGCTTTTGGGAAGTGCTGAATATCAGCTACCAGCTGCCCAACACGACCATCGTGCTGCACTGCATCAGGCCCTCGGCGCTGAGGCGCAACCCGACCTACATAAATATATATATACACTGGTGCTATCTGATTGTGAACAACATAATTCCCTTTCTCACGCTGGCCATACTCAATTGCCTGATCTACATGCAGGTGAAGCGCGCGAATCGAGAGCGCCAGCGGCTCTCCCGATCGGAGAAGCGTGAGATCGGCCTGGCCACGATGCTGTTGTGCGTGGTGATTGTGTTCTTCATGCTCAATTTCCTCCCGCTGGTGCTGAACATCTCGGAGGCATTCTATAGCGTCGTCGATCACAAGCTGACGAAAATCTCCAATCTGCTGATCACGATCAACAGCAGCGTCAACTTTCTCATTTACATCATATTCGGAGAGAAGTTCAAGCGTATTTTTTTACTCATTTTTTTCAAGCGACGCCTGAGTCGTGACCAGCCGGATCTTATACACTACGAGAGCTCAATTTCGAACAACGGCGACGGCACCATGAACCATCGCTCATCCGGCCGCTTCTCACGGCACGGCACGCAGCGGAGCACCACGACAACCTATCTGGTCACCACCGGAGGCAGCAGCTCACTGAACAGCGTTCGGCTCACCCAAGTCTCCGGCTCGCCCGGCCTCCTGCAAATCAAGCGGAATCGAGCACCGTCGCCCGGCCCAGTCGTCTACTATCCAGGTCCACGCGAAATGCAACGCTCCGTTTCCACCACGAACTCGACGACAAATAATAATACGGCCCTGGGCTACGACTGGACCGTGGATGGCAAGAAGCTGGGGCACGTCTCCTCGGGCTTCTGAGCAATCCATAGTAGTGTACATAATGTAGATGCTAGTCTCCTAGTCACTTATGTAAATATATGTATATATACTTCTCTATATATATACGATATATACTTACTATATATAAACTAAGCGCGCCAAGCGTCGCGTTACTTTGTGATAAGCGTTATGTGTTGCTATGTCCTTCTCTATACTCCACTTAAAGACACCAAAAACACACAGTACAGCAAAAATTTGAAAAAAAAAAACACGCACTCAACTCTCAATAGTTCACAAATCACACAACATTTATTTCGGCAGTTCTCCAAATGAAAGACTGAACATCTGTAGAGTAATATGAGCAGGATTAAATAGTTTGCGGCTCAATAGGCGTAAGAATAACAAGGCGGAGAGAAATCGACTGCTTAATACTCCCTCACAGTCTTATTGCTGATATTTCTATCTATGACAGATCCTGCAGGAATATGACCTATGACCTATTTTCAATATCTGTATATAAAATAAAACTTTTCTGAATTTAAACGAAGTAAAATAATATGCTAATCAAAGAACATACATAAAACCTTAATTCAAGGAACATCAAATTAAATTTTAAATAAAACAAATTCATCCATAGATGCAACCACCCCAAATAGAGCAGTTTGGTTTTTAGACGCTGAGCTCCCAACTGTTAAGATACAGATACAGAATTGTTGATCAATCACTCAGAAGGCTCACGTTCCAAAACTATGAAAAATATGCTATATTTGGATATGCCAGGCCTTTAGTTAGCCGTAAATCAATTATAAATATTTTCTACCGCCAAAACTTCAGAAAGCGTAAATTTGTCCGGCCTTCCCCAATGAATATAGATATATACATATAAACCATGTATTTTTGGGTGTGGGTGCTGTATTCAAAATTTCAAATATCTAGAACAAATAGTTTTAAATTCTCGATTGGGTGGTAACATTTCATTTCTTAATAATAACAGTAATGTTCGTGCCAAATTTGTCCCGCCCTCAATGAGTGTAGATATATGTATGTACATCGAAATCTTTTATGTAGAGTGTTCCCACGAGTATATATCAAAATGATTTGCTTCATACGGAAAGGCGGGCAGAATGCAAATAAATATCATTTTCATTTTCTAAGCGATTATCATATACATACATACACATACACATATATATGCGGGGTGTGTAACTGCAATAAAAACAATATATGCATGTATATATAAAAAAATTATAGTTTGAGTAGAGCAAGCGTCCATGATCTAACTATTACGTCCTCGATATGTGATACTTTCCCAAATCATTATGTCAAAATTTCTTGAAGCCGTCTGATAAACTTAAAAACATTTTTCAATTAAGAGTTCTCTTCAAACATTCTGTATTAATTCATTGAGCTCAAGCGAACCAAATTTGAGAGCGTAATACAAATTTTTGCTGTACTTTAAGGAACCAAACTACACACATAATTAATCCTTTCATTTTGAATTTCTTTTTTATGACTTTCAGTTCAGTTCAATCAATTGAATTTATTTCAGTTTTGCAGTAAATTGAGTTGTGAACCTTTTTTATACACCCACGCTGTAGATTAATGCCCAAGTGGAAGACCATAACCCAGAGCTGACCCGGGCCTTTGGCCAGCGAAACTTTTATTTATTAGGACCAACTTTTTGCCTTTAATTGAATATACTTTCCAATGCATTTTTCAGCGAACTTGATAAATGATTTTTTTTTTTTTTTTTTTATTTTGCTTCTTTTTTTACATTTCATTTGGCCTGAAATTATAGAAAACTTTTTCATTTTCTTATCGATAGCAGTTCATATATTTTTTTTGGAGGGGGCTTTTGAGTCGACGTTGTAATATGTCAAGTTGTCGGAAAAGTTAACTCAAAGTTCGTCGGTAAATTCAATAACATTAATTCTTCATTACTTTTATCTTCGCCAATTTGCGAAAAGAAACTCAAAGTAGCTCAATTTAACACGTACACTTAAACAAAACACACACACTTTGCTATGGTAAAAGACATTTTCAGGTGTTCATAAATAGAATTTATTCAACTTACCTCCCAAAAGAAAAACAAAAACATCGTTGCTTTTGTATAAATATAATTAATTAACTGAATCTGTAAATATTTCCTATATAATAATTATATAGTCAATGCAAAGCATATATTATACATAAAATATGAAGAGATTGCAGTTTAAAAATTACAATTAAATGTAGCATTAGTTTAGTTTTAATTAAAAATCTATTTAAAACTCAAGTTCAATATTTGCTCCTGAGATTCAATAAAGAAAAAATTTAAAAAAAAGAATACTTCAATAATTGTGAGAACTCAAACCCAAGACTTTTACTGAACCAGACACTTTTCATTTTCATTTTCATTTCGAGGAATCGCTAATATAATATGTCATAGTCGACGATTAATTCAATTGCAATTGTGAATGTGTATTTCTAATAGCCACTTAACATTCAATTTATAAGACCTGGGGCGTGGCCAAGAAGTGCCAGCCTCCATGAAACCGGAGCCTAAGCGGATCTTGTGGGTGGCACTTAGCACAGAGCTTTGTGCATTTGGCTATGCTAAGCACGTGGCGAGAGCTCAGAGTTTATGTCGCCGACACGCCAGGACACAAGGGAAAATCCTTATAATAATCAGAAGAGAAAATGTTATGATGAACGGACAAATACCCTGTTAGATTAAGTAATTGAATAGCAAACACTAGGCATGGCAGAATTACCCTATAGCTAGTTAGTATTTAGTAGCTCAAAACTTATGTCGTCAAAGAAAAGAAAAACAATATCTATAGAACGTAGAGAAATCGATATCTCCAAGCATGGCTAACATGAAATACAGTGCTAAAAGTCAACAAAATAAAGGAGGCTTTATTTAGTTAGTGAATTATATTATTACCACAGCTCTGCTTTTTCTTCTTCTAAAACTTACGCTCTCGATGTTTTTCTTCTTCTTCTGGCTAAGCAATTCACGATCATCACACTCACGTCAACTATCGACTGCCTCATAGCCATCGATATGATTAAGTATCAATATCTATTGACTATCTATTGATAGTTACTACAAAAAATACTATTATTATTATAAATAATTAAAAACAAAAATATAAGAATAACTGTGAGCCCGCAAATACCCTACAGCGTGAATTACTATGTATATATAATCAGGTGAGTGTGAGTCGTGCCTCTGCTCCAGCAGGTGCTTTGAGCTAGGGGATAATCGAGCCAATTGAAGGCCAAGCTGTGCGCGGACCTAGGCCATGAGCAGCAGCAGCAGCAGCAGCAGCAGCAGCAATGTGAATCAGAACAAATGCACAACTAATTAAAATCTGTCGATTTATGCGAACGAGCTTCCCTCCAACTAGAGTTAAGCACTTTGGCACGTTTATGGATGCGCCCAGAAATGTGCTTTGAAAATTTGGCCACAGATTGGAAATGTTTGCCTCTGACAGCAGCAACAAAGGCGGTTCGCTTATGCTTTCGCTTTTGCGTTTGCGCTTGCTTTTGTTGAAATTTTGTTATGCCTGCCACAGTCGAGTGTGGCCTGGCTTTGTGATAAAGACAATAAATCAGCTTGGATAATGTCAACAGGGAGCTGAACGAGAGCCCACAAAGCACAAACACACACAAAAAACAAAAAACAAAAAAGAAAATCGCAGCCAGACAAACCCAAGAGTCGAGTTATTTTTAGTGCTGATGACTTTGAATTTTGCCAACGGATTCTAAACAGTTTGATGTGTTTTTAATGCTATGAGGATTATCGGGCTCTGCGTTAGGCAGATGATGATGAGTTCATGCCGCAATTGTTGTTGCTATTGTCCTTGCTCTTTTGTTTGGCCAACAGCTTGAGGCTATGTTGGGACTGGGTTGGGTTGGTTTTGGGGGTTGGCTATACTCCAGCTATTGACAAACGATATCAACTTGCACTTTGTCACCAGCTTTGATGCTTCACGCATAGTGTTGACCCCGTCAGGATGTTGTCAAATTAATTAACTGTCTTTGTCAGAGACGAACACATGGCATCTGCTGCACAGCTTCAAATTTAATTAATCTTGGACATTTGGCTTCGCCATGTTCAACTTGTAAGCGTCGCCAAGTTCTTTGACAACTCTTGTTTAGTTCTCAAAGCATTTTCACCGAAACTACGAAACCCACAAAACATTGCCAAGGCAAACTCGATTTCCTGCCTCCCAGGACTCTACTTTACGCCAAACACACTATCACCGACCGAGATCTTAACTACCCTGCGGCTGCTGTATAGCAGCATTCAAGTTTAAGTAGATCTGCGTCTGTGGGCAATCCGCAGCTGCGCCCGTACAATTAGCTTGTAATGCTCGCAATTACATTACAGCCCATTTCCATGGTTGCTTGGCGGTGTGTGGCATCTAGCGAACCAGAGCCGAAATATAAACAAGGTTAAGCTAACAATGACACAATTCTGTGCGTAGCACATGGCGCGTGGGTGCTAAGCAAAAAAAACAACAAGCCCTAAAAAAACAGCTGAGTGTGCGGCATATGTGTTAAAATTATCCTACCGAAATAGCGGAAAAAACTAAAAAGTTGTAACCGACAAGGCAATGCTCTACTCGTAGTAGTTGGATAATTAAAGCCCGGATATCTGACTTGGAGTCGGTAACAATTTACAATTTACTACAGCAAAGAGTTACATATCTAATATGCATACTCCGTCTCATAGCTAATGGGCTCACACAGTCTCTAAAATACACAGGGTATCAAACAAACAAAAAAAGACAACCACTGAGTATACTAATCGCACGTGGCGTCTTTTGCGACAAGAGTGCTACAGTTTTTGCAGGCAATATTTTTTAATGCCGCTCACAGCTGTCGGCCACAGTGGGCACTGGTCATTGAAGGGCTTTATTTCTGTGCACGGCGATAAGCGCTTGAAAAACGCGCCGTCTGACCCGGGCAGAGAGGCAGACAAGTGGCGGCCTAAGTGGTCGGGTGTGAATGACGAGCAAGAGGTTACGGTACCGCACCACCACACCACCGCACCACCCGAAGGCAGCACAATGGCAGGCATGGCATGCCGTTGACAGTGTGTTGAGCTTTGCGGTGGCGCTCACTTCTGACTGCACTTGTTCCAAGTTTTGACAAGGATTCTACGGCCAGACAAACGCTGTGGCCAGCGAGACAAAGAAAACATAAAGGGAAAAGTGAATGAATCTCAATTCTCCAGCTATCGGAAATTGCTATTGGAAAAATATTGATTTATTGTCTGAATACTAATTTCACATATCAATGCAGGCCAACTAAAGCGAGAGACGAGCTTACAAAACACAACACACACATCACTCAATATTGATTCGTCTGTAAATCGGCCTATGTTAAAGGTACTCAATTATATCACAGAGTCTGGGCAAATATGCATCTGGCACTAAACGCATTTGCTTCTTCTGCCCTCTATCGCGTATCCTTTCCACTTTCTCCAATTCTGTGACACCGGATCCCACAAGAATTGACTGAAATCCATTATAATTGGCAAATTTTATATCGGTTTCAAGTCTGTAAAGAAACAAAAGATTTATATTATATAAAGAATATTTTCATATATTTGTTTTTAAGCTACGTCGAGCTGGAGTAATTTATCAAAAATCTATTTTTCCACATAGCGCACATAATCTCTTATAAGACATAACAGATTAGAATAAAAACCCAGTGATATTTTTCTGGCTTCTCTCAATTAAAGTCTCCTGACTAGGATACTCCTCAGACTTAATTAGATATGCTGAGTCAAGACGAACTATTTGTTGCCTACGACAATCAGAAAGCCATTATAGATTTATAGATCTCTTACTTACGTGTCGCCGATCATCAGCGTAGTTGCTGGATTGATAGCTCCGCTCTCGATGGGCTCTCGGACAATCCAGGGGTTTGGCTTGCCAAGAATGAGGGGCTTGCGTGAAGTTATTGTCTTAACTAATGCTATCATGGCAGCCGCACCGGCTAGAACGCGATTATTGCCAATGGGATAGGCAGCATCCAGGCAGCAGCCGAGGAACAGAATTTGAGGATTTCTCAAATAGTGACAAGCTCTAATAACACTGCACATATTGAAGCTGTCATCGCGGCCCACGACAACGGCACCCACATCTTCGTCTACCTCCATCTCAAGGGCGAAATCCCGCATAGACTTTTTAATCTTCTCATTTCTGAATTGAAATGCACATATATTCACGGCTGCCAGCTCCTCAATAATGCCGACCCCTCCCACAACGAAAACCTTTTGCTGAAAGTTCTTGCTGCTCAGAAAGCTGGCAACGGACTTCCCAGAGTTAAGCACGTGATCTTTGCGCACATTAAAGCCGAAATCGCGAGCCTTTAGCCTAATTTTTTCGCTGCACAAGCACGAGTTGTTCGTCACTATAAACGTGTTGCGTCCAGTATCTTGAATTGCATTAAAGGCCTCGACGGAGCCGTCAATAGCTTTGTCAAAGTGCCACAGCACACCATCAGCATCGCAGATAATAGTCTCAAAGCCGTTCAGCCACTGGCGTACCCGTTGGATGGATAAAGTAGTAAGGTTGGTGCAGGTCTGCTTGAACATGTTTAATCCTAAAAATAAACCTACTACATTCAAATGAAATAAAAATTTGAATTTTTGAAATAATTATCTGCGAGCACTCGATAGGTAACAAATAGGAGTGCTATCCGTTGCTGCAAGTGCACACAAAGAATCAACACTATCACATTTACATAGTAATACAAAAAATCGAACTTATGAAATAAATGTCAAAAACTGATATTACTTTAAACAATACTTTAATAAAAAAGCTGAATAAAATCTTTCAAGTAAACATATGGGCTGAAATGTATTATTCGATAACTATTTCATGGCATATGTCTTATTAGGATTAATTAAAACTAATTTGGTTATCTGTTCGGTTCAATCGGAAATAATGTTTTATGGATTTATACAAATTTTGAATAAGTAAGAAAAAAAGTGATTTGATTTTTAATATCTAAATAATTCAATGAAAAGTATCGTTGGTTGAATTAATCAAAGAGAAATTATCTAGAAGAGCCCTAGTAGCCCTGGGCTATTGGTAGAATTTATCAGTTGTCAGTTTATTAACGGCT